CCAAGAAGCGCATTTGTCACTCGGTGGTAACCACGACAAAGTGTCGGCATTCGAGTGCTAGGTACCCTTCCAGTAAGTGACGGTGAACGAGTAGTCCTGTAGGAATTCGAGCCAGTGAGAAAGTTGCCTAGATGGCTGATCAACCCGTAAGGCATACTGCAGCACTTCGTGATCGGACCACACCATAACCCGCCTACCATATAGGTATGGCCGGTATTGCTGCACGAAAAAAACGATTGCTAGCAGCTTTAGGTGCGTGAGACAATAGCGTTGCTTCGCCGAGGACAGCACCGTGCTGCCATATGCGACAACACATTCCACTCCGTCCACGACCCGCTATTGCTGGCAACCATGTGGAGGATGAACAGCGCGTCAAAATTTGGGTAGCGTAGGGGAGGGGCATTAACTAATGCCTCACAGAGCATGACAAACGTGGCCTCCTCCTCCTCCCCCCAATGCAATTTTTGGCCTTTCGCCATGAGCATGTGGAAGGGTGTAGCGATGGAAGCAAACCCCGCGACAAACCGGCGATAATAATAAGCGAACCCAATAAAGCTCCGTGCTTCCCTGACTGGTGTGGGGGTCGGCCACGTCCAGACACAAGCCGTTTTCTCCAGGTTGGTGGCAATGCCTGAATGGCTGACAACGTGGCTAAGGTATCGTATGGATTCCCGCTAAACGTGACATTTTTGGGGCGTGAATATAAGATTGGCCACTTGCATTTTAACAAAGACAGCCCTCAACCGGTCTAGGTGCTCATCAAACGTGCAGCTAAAGATGATCACGTCATACAAATATATGAGACACGAGTCCCACTGAAGCCCAGCGAGGACCAGTTCCATCAGGCGCTGGAATGTCGCTGGGGCCGAATGGAGACCCATCGGGAGCCGGTTATATTAAAAAAGGCCCTGTGGTGTCCGGAAGGCCGTTTTGGGCTTGGAGGCCTCGCCCAGGGGCAGTTGCCAAAAGCCCGACAGAAGGTCCAGCGTGGAAAAATATCGTGCACTAGCCGGGGCGTCCAGGGACTCGTCCATCTGAGGAAGGGGATAAGCATCCGCAACCGATATTTTATTCAATTTGTGGAAATCGACGTAAAATTGTAAGGTGTCATCATGTTTTTTAATGAGGACGATAGGGGCCTCTCACGGGCTAGTAGATGGCGAAATGATGTCCGCAGCTAGCATATCATTGATAGCCAATCGGACATGCTCTTTTTCCACCGGACTCAACCGATAGGAGTTCTGCCGGATGGGAGCGGCATCACCCGTGTCAATATGATGGCTTAATAATTTAGTACGGCCAATATCAAATTTACTTTTGCTAAAAACGTTTGTAAATTCTCCCAAAAGTGCCTGCAACTTCCCCTTCTGGGGGTCAGACAGGCGGCCAGCCCCAGAGCAGAGTGAATCCAACCACCGTTCGTCCAGATCTGAGTGTGGCTGCGGCCGAGGTACAGCCCCAACATGGCCCACCACCAAGTCACCCTGGAGTGCCGGTGTCGCATGAGTGAAAACGGTACCCTGTGGAATGACGGAAATCCGCAACCCGTCATTTAAGATCTGGATGAAGGGTTCCCTGTCATTGGAGACTATGGTTTGTGCCCCGACCAGCTCCATCCCCCGCACAGCCATGTTCGACGGGCCTCAGAAGATTCCCCCCGCCATCGCCCAAGAATCGAGTGGTTTCCGCAAGTGAAGGGAGACCAGCATTTGAGCTAGAGGGGGAATGCACACCGTCCGGGATGCCAGCGCCTCTACAGTAGGCCGTACGCAACCGAGTGGGGGAGGGCAGAAATGTCAAACGACGACCAGATGGCAATTCAATGCATGCCTGGTCGATAAAAATTTAGATAGGCATCTTTCCCAATAAATCGGTCCCCAGTAAGCAAGGAACGGCAAGCGATGAGGACACCAGAATGGGGCTCGTGAATTTAATATCCGCAATACAAATTAGGGCAGTAATTTGGCTGATGATGTCCAAGAAACACCCGTTGGCAGCGAAACATGGTATCTCAACTGGGTGTAGGGAGCGGCATTTCTTGGGTAAGATGTTATAAATGAGTTCCAAAATGATGGTTGCCGAAGCTCCCGTATCGACCAACATTTGGAAAGCATTCCCCTCGATAGAGCCAATAACAACCGAGGATCCCACGGTTGTGGCAAAACAACCCTATGAGCCAGCTCCGATCACTGACCCAGTTGGAGTGGCCATGCGGATTGCGCGCATTCTGCCCCCCCCTCACCCGATGCACGACGAACGCGCGAGCCGGCACAATGAGATGCATGAGGTGGAGGCAGGGGCCATCTGTGTGTGGTGCCGCGACTCGCCTCAGGCTGCTGCATGGACGGGGATGAGCGAGGGGATGACGGCTGAGGTCCGGGAAAGCAACTTCAAGGCGCCCGGCAGCCCGACGACACGTGTCCCTGCAGTCCGCAGTTGTAGCAGGTGATGAGGGCCTGGTCCGGTCGTGGTGACGTCTGTCCCCGCTGTCAGGAACCGTCCCGACGCGACCGGTTATCCGCCCTCCATCCCCTGTCCTGGGTTGCTGCGAAGGCCCGAGCGGGTTCCACCTCCTCCGACATGCTGCTAGCTTCCCCTGGCGCAGCACAGGCTGCCAACCCGGCTTCCCGCTGTAAGGGCAAGTGTGCCTGGATGCACCGTGCAGCCCGTAGTGAGTTGAAGTCCTCGTCGTTGACGGTGTGTATTGCTACACGCATTTCCCGTGCCAGCACCAGCATTTTTTCCAGGATGAGGGCGTCAATGCCTTCATGGTCCATGCGGAGGAGGCAGCCTTTGCTAAGGCTAACAGTGTGCTTCGAAAGGCGAGGGGTGTTTCTGACTCACCCTTCTTGCATGCAGCGAAGCGGTGGCGTGTGTCTGAAGGCAGTCCATAGATCGCTGCCATTTGTTGCAGCACTTGCTGCAACGTGGATCGATCCGCCCTCGGGATGGCGATGAGGGCGGCGAGGGCATCGTCGTCCAGGGAAGCTGGGAGCGCCCGCAGCGCCACCACCTCCGACCACCCAGCTATCTCGCAGTTGGCGAGGAATCTTCATTGAAGGCCACCCAATCGCCTCCCGCTGCTGAAAATACTTTAAGCGCAGACAGCCGTTGCATGGAGAGACGGCATGCGCCCTGCCGGCAGCTGCCCCGCAGCAGCTTCTGATTGGTGGGCGAGAGCCCCGAAGACCTCTGGGAACCTGGAACTTCCGGTGGAAGCTCCCCCGCATCCGGCGTCAATTTCGAAACTTTGCGCGGGAACTGCAGGAACTGCGGTGGGAATCACAGCCCCGCACAGCTCCACGCCTCCCTCCTCCGCCGCGATGCAGTTCGCCGAGGATGCACACCGCCACGTGCAGGAGCTCAGCAAGGCGGGCGTGCGCCGCCCGAAGCATCCCTCCTGATGGCAGGCAGTCACCAGGCGGCTGGGCGGTGTGCAGCTCGGCCGGCGATGCTCCTTCTCCCTCCAGGGCTGCCGACCCCGGGGCTGTTGAGTTGTCCTCCAGAGCTCTGGTACGAGTTTGTCTATGCGTCTCCATATAAATAATTTGGCCACATCTGTCACCAATTGTAGTGGGTAATCAGGGAGAGCGAGACTTACTGGAGGCAACACGTTTATTCATAACCTCAACAGACCCTTACACAAAGTGGTAACGGCCCCTTCCACCCAATACACTATGGAGGTATCTCCTCCGGACTATCGTGCCCGACCCTAGGCAGGGGTTCGGGTCCGGTCCTCGGGCTCTTCTCAGGGCGAGTCTTTGGGTCTTCAGTTGGCAGCTCCAGGTCTTCAAATGTTCATCAGCAGCCTGACCCGTTCAGGGGTCCGGCTTTTATATCCAGTCCCGGCTTTCTCTGCCCCTGGCAAAGTCCACCTTCTAGATCCTTCGAGAAGGTCCTGGGTTGGCCGTACATCATCCCCCAGCCCCCCTCTAGGGGGCCTGGGGTCCGCATCTCTGGCCACAAGCCCCCTTGTGTTCAACCCGAGTGTCACGGCCCGGCCTGCTCCAGGCACTCTTCCGCACCCTGTTAACTGAGGGCTGGCATTGCACTCAGGGAGCAGTGGCATCGCCCCGTAATGCCACTGCACATGTGACGATACCCAAAAAAAGATCTCACTGATAGTAAAAATTACAGAACCTTGCAACTAATGAGCCACATGCAGAAGGTACTAATGATAGTACTATTAAATCAATTAAAAGGACAGACTAAGGATTATTTGGCGGATGAACAGGCAGGGTTTATGAAAGATAGGAACAGAGTACAGCAAACTTTAATGTTAATGCGTATAGCAGAGAAAGCAAAAAGAAAGAATAGGCTTGTTTACAACTGTGTCACAGAAAGAAGTTCAACATACAATGTTTCCAAATGAAATTTTCAGTTTTTTGTACACTGTATTTCGATTGTGTTATCGGAATCATAATCACCACGAGATGGAGAGTCCATTGGGCAATCTTGCAAAGCAGTTTGCCTTGCGTGTCAGTGAATGACTGCAGAAGAGATTTATATTATACCGGTAAAAACATAATTCTTTAACTGGACTTTTTATTAAATTCAGTGGCATTCAGCACATGAACATATTGCCACACGCAAAAGTATAATTAATAATTCAATTAACTTCCTGAAAAAGTTCCAAGCACGTGGTGAAAAACGTCGGACAATGTCCCAAACACGCCGAATAGCTACAAAGCAAGGCTAAGGTGAAACCCACACAGTGGCATTATCACTGTGATCAGCACAACCTGCTGAGGTCAGCATTCCTGCGAGCCTGTTTACTGATCCCTGGCTTTAACTTGTAACATGTTGAGTGGTCTCAGCCAAAGGCTGCACATAAATAGGGCACCAAATGCATTTGTTTTTGCACTGAAGCTGGTTGAACACCGCTCAGTGGGAATAGTGAACAGATGAGAATAGACAAAACTACCAATATGCCTGGTCAATTGTTTAGTTAGTTTTGTGATTGTTTCATGTATCGTCAGCGCTTATAGGATTCACGTTACCCTTTTGATTTCTTGATCAAAGCTTCCATTGGTTTTGTATTGTATAGCATCGTATGTCGTAGTTGATGCTTCCAAAATATTTGCGGCCACATCCAGTAATGCTTGAATACAAACACACGCACACACAGCCAGACTTAGCAGATACAAAATATTTATGTTGTAATAAACTTAATTATGTTTCCATATATTCAACAACGTGCCTATGGCCTGATTACCAGGAGTATACCCGATTCTGTCAGACATCAGAAGATAACCAGTTTTGAGCCTGGATTTTGCCGAGATGGGCAACCACATCCATACATTAAACAGGTGTTGTAGTCTGCTTCAAGGCTACGTTGTTAGCAGATGGCCGTGCATACGTAATAATTATTGTTCTATACTTTGCGACAATGCCTATGCTCCCCACAATTAACACGCATTGACCAGCGTGGTGAAGTATGGTCAAATTACCCTCACGCACCGCACAGCATAGAGAGGTCATCATCCAGCAGAGGATTGACGCACGGTCTGTACACGTCGATATTCCACAAGTGTAGGAGCAGTGGTTAACGCACTGCACTCAGAATATGGCGAACTGAGATTGAGTCTTGATTTCAAGCTTTCGTGACTGCAGGAATCCATACTCTTTGGTTCTTTCGGTAAAGTCACGCAGATAGAAAAATAGATCACGACGTTTCGATCGCAACACAAGCAATCATCATCAGGTGGGACAACCACATCAAGAAAAACTGCTGAAGTAGGCGAAAGATCTGCCGTGGCACGAGGTTATATAGGTCTCGGCAGTAGGGGGAGGAAGTGGGGGGGGAGAGGGGGCGGGGCAGAAAGTGGACCCCGCGGCAGCACCCGGGTCACTGGAGTAGAGATCGGAGAGAGATGCACAGAGAGAGAGAAAGTAAGACACAAAGAGAGTCCGAAATAGCAGCTGACATAGCCACGGCTAACAGTCAATGGTGAGTGAATTCTGAATCGGTCCTGGGTCTCCCCTTCACCAACTGGCACTGACCAGTGTGGTAAAGTATGGTCACACCAGAACATGGGGAGGCCATGTTTCTATTTGTGTGGGTCGATGTCTGTGTGTAAGTCGATGTGTGTGTCTGTCTTTTTCGCCCGGGCAACGCCGGGTACTTATCGCTAGTAATCGATAAATGTGATTATATGCCAAATATCTGCAATGGCTGTGTCATTCAATCATTCAGCCAGGCTAGTGGACCGCTATTCACTGTCCACAGGGCCACTAATTCCAACTGCTCAAGCATCCAGCACCACTCCCTAACTGCCCGGTGATTAAACTGACATGTCACTTCGCCATTACCAACACACCACGTTATAGCATATGCAAAATGCAAAACAGTAATTCCTCGTTTTAATGTGGTAGATGCATTCATGAAAAGTTCCACGTTAAGCAAAACACGCTTAAGCACAAAACATTTCCCCATAAATAATGTATCGATAAAATTTGGCGAGATACGATGCACACACACACTGTAAGATGGTGGGACAAATAACTGAGAGTACGCCACCGCGTTACTGTATCATTACACATGCTTTATCACTGTACTGTATCACTACCGCTCAGCCACGCAGCTCAAGAAAGAAGTTTATCGTCGACCACTCAGAAACCGCGTTATAGCGATGCGCGTTCCGCGTTATAGCGATGCGCGTTCTGCGTTATAACAGTGCAGTTTCCACGTGATAACGGGCACATTCCACGTTTTGCAAAAAATATATTTTCCGAATAGAAGAACCCGCATTATCGCGAAAACGCATTGTGTGAACATGTTAAGCGAGGACTTACCGTATTGTATTTGCAAAGAAACTATATGTAGAACTCCTTTTATCCGTAGCCCTATTACCCGTGGTTATCTGTAAAGTCTGTGAAACTCCTATTATCATTGGCCTATTTATTATCTGCGATTTTACCTATAATGCATAGCAAAGTGGCTTCCATACCCTTGCAAAAAAATGTTTCTGACAAAAGGGTTCGGATGATAATTTCATCCTATCCACCCACGCAGTGCCACGGTGGCAAGGATACATTATCTACCTCGCCTGGGACGCAGGACATGGGTTCAATCCCGACCATAACGATATTCCTGTTGTATGTTTATTGGGAGGTCGCGTGTTCTCTCCCTGTGGAGGTCGGGTAGATTTTTCTCCAGGTCCTTAGTTTTGTATCGACACATTTTGAAGCATGTTTAGATTATTTGTCTGCTCCTAGAAATGCCGACATATGATGATACCAGCCACTGTGATGAGTTATAATGTGTGGCCAGGTCGCCTCTGAAAAAGAGTTCATAGCTTCGTGCGATTTACATGGTAAAAAAGTAAAAAAATGCGAATATAACAGGTACCTTGCGAAATTTTGAACGCTTTTGATGGTGTTACCATGCGACAAGTCGCAAACATGTCTGTTACAGCCTTGAGAGCATCAGCCGCGACATCCTACAAGCACATTCAAAGTCACCGTTAAGTTACAGGTCATCACTGCAACCTGGCCCAGCGCTACAATTCCATTGGGAGGAGGGCACAGCAACTCTCAAGTCTATTTTTGCATAAACACGTTGTGCCTTTTGGCACAAATCTGCACCCAAAGTGCCATCATCTTATTAATACTCTAACATAAACATACGATTTGATACAGTGAGAGAGAAAACTTTCCATCCTTTATAGTTATTTAAAATATAAAAATTAAAGCCAGTTGTGCCTGTGAGTTCGTTGTTGTACAGTGAGGGAAAAAAGTATTTGATCCCCTGCTGATTATGTACGTTTGCCCACTGACAAAGAAATGATCAGTCTATAATTTTAATGGAAGGGTTATTTGAACAGTGAGAGACAGAATAACAACCAAAAAATCCAGAAAAACGCATGTCAAAAATGTTATAAATTGATTTGCATTTTAATGAGGGAAATAAGTATTTGACCCCCACTCAAAAAGACAGATTTCTGGCTCCCAGGTGTCTTTTACACAAGTAACGAGCTGAGAAAGGAGCACACTCTTAAAGGGAGTGCTCCTAATCTCAGCTTGTTACCTGTATAAAAGACATATGTTCACAGAAGCAATCAATCAGATTCCAAACTCTCCACCATGGCCAAGACCAAAGAGCTCTCCAAGGATGTCAGGGAGAGGATTGTAGACCTACACAAGGCTGGAATGGGCTACAAGACCATCGCCAAGCAGCTTGGTGAGAAGGTGACAACATTTGGTGCGATTATTCGCAAATGGAAGAAACACAAAATAACTGTCAATCTCCCTCGGCGTGGGGCTCCATGCAAGATCTCACCTCGTGGAGTTGCAATGATCATGAGAACGGTGAGGAATCAGCCCAGAACTACACGGGAGGATCTTGTCAATGATCTCAAGGCAGCTGGGACCATAGTCACCAAGAAAACAGTTGGTAACACACTACGCCGTGAAGGACTGAAATCCTGCAGTGCCCGTAAGGTCCCCCTGCTCAAGAAAGCACATATACATGCCCGTCTGGAGTTTGCCAATGAACATCTGAATGATTCAGAAGACAACTGGGTGAAAGTGTTGTGGTCAGATGAGACCGAAATGGAGCTCTTTGGCATCAACTCAACTCGCCGTGTTTGGAGGAGGAGGAATGCTGCTTATGACCCCAAGAACACCATCCCCACCGTCAAACATGGAGGTGGAAACATTATGCTTTGTGGGTGTTTTTCTGCTAAGGAGACAGGACAACTTCACCGCATCAAAGGGATGATGGACAGGGCCATGTACCGTCAAATCTTGGGTGAGAACCTCCTCCCCTCAGCCAGGGCATTGAAAATGGGTCGTGGGTGGGTATTCCAGTATGACAATGATCCAAAACACACGGCCAAGGCAACAAAGGAGTGGCTCAAGAAGAAGCACATTAAGGTCCTGGAGTGGCCTAGCCAGTCTCCAGACCTTAATCCCATAGAAAATCTGTGGAGGGAGCTGAAGGTTAGAGTTGCCAAACGTCAGCCTCGAAACCTTAATGACTTGGAGAAGATCTGCAAAGAGGAGTGGGACAAAATCCCTCCTCAGATGTGTGCAAACCTGGTGGCCAACTACAAGAAACGTCTGACCTCTGTGATTGCCAACAACGGTTTTGCCACCAAGTACTAAGTCATGTTTTGCAGAGGGGTCAAATACTTATTTCCCTCATTAAATGCAAATCAATTTATAACATTTTTGACATGCGTTTTCCAGGATTTTGTTGTTGTTGTTATTCTGTCTCTCACTGTTCACATAAACGTACAAAATCAGCAGGGGATCAAATACTTTTTTCCCTCACTGTATGTGTAGTGCTTGAGAAACACGCGTCACGCGCTGGGTCGGTATGCGTGCACGTGGCGGACAGTGAGGGCAAACGAAGACACAGGGCGCTGATTGGCTAACTGTTGTTGTTGTACAAATTAAGGTGGTGTGATAGTTAAGGGGGCTGCAGGTGGCCGGGGGTAATTGAGGACGCAGGGCGTTGATTGGACGAGAGGGGTTGTTGTCTGAGATTGGCGCCGGCGTGTCTGGAATAACAACGCCACATGGCACCGGGGGCTGGGGGCGAGTGGCGTCGCGGGGGATGACCTAATTAATTAAGGGTAATTGGTTCGGGGATAAAGGGTGAGATGGTGGAGTGAAACGGGAGTTGATGCCTGGGACGAGAGACGAACGGATGGAGAGACGGAGCAGCGGATAGAATGAGTATAGTATAGGGTAGCAGTGGATAGAGAGAGTACAACATAGGGTAGCAGTGGATAGAGAGAGTACAGCATATGAAAGCAGTGGATAGAGAGAGTACAGTATAGGGTAGCAGCGGATAGAGTGAGTACAGCGTAGGGTAGCAGCAGAGTAACGGAAGCATCAGTGGAGAGAGAGACGACAGAGAGTTACGACGGAGTGAGACGACGGAGAGTTACGACGGAGTGAGACGACGGAGAGTTACAACGGAGTGGGACGACGGAGTTAATAAAGCAGCCGAGCTGGAGAGAGAGAGAGAGAGCGGAGAGGAGAGTCGCCGCAGGAGCAGAGGAGAGGAGAGCGAGCGAGGCCAGCGAAGCGCAGCGAGCGAGCGGAGGGACATTGAGTGATGTTGACGGAGAGTTGTGGGTTGGAGTG